TTTTTTTCATTTTTATTATTACTTTTTATCAAAGATATATTTACGTATTAATAAGTAATAGTAGTAATAAGCAGTAAATTAATAAAATGGTCATAAAGAAAGTTATGAAAAAATTTTTTAAACGTGTTATTAAAAGGAAAGAAGCTTGTAAAGATTCTAAAAATAAAATTAAAGATGAAATCAAGGATGATGATGATAATAACAAAAAATCACGAAAAACGTTTTGGAAAAGAATGTTAAAATCGAAAAACAAAAGGAAATTACGAAAAGAAAATATCTTGTTACAAAATTCTCCAACAATATTATTAATACCAATTGATATTTTACATGAAATATTTTATTATCTTCAAAATGATCTTCATTCTTTACATTCGTGTTTACGAGTTTCCAAACAATGGTGTCAAGCGATAATTCCAATATTTTGGAGTAAACCATTTCGTGAAAATAAAAGTTCCGTTAATGTGGTTAATACATTTTTAAAATGTTTAAATAAACAAGAAAAAAATAATTTAACATACAATCTTGGTAATCTTGACGATGGTGATGGTGATGGTAATAATCTCGATATCGATATTCTTGACGATCGTAGTACAGTATTATTTCAATATGCGAATTTTTTAAGAGAAATCAGTATGCAAAGATTATATCTTGGAGTAAATACTTGGGTTAATAAGAAGAAGATTGATAAAACTTGGGATACTTTAGTAATTAATAAGTACGTAATAATTTTATACTTTCATAATTGATAAATATTTTAATATTTATATAAAATATATATTATATCAATAATAATTTATAATTATATCAATAATAATTTATAATTATATCATAATAATGTATAATATATACAATACACAATATACAATATATATATAATATAAAAATTAATAATATTTTTTATATTTTTTTAGATATAATAATTTAATATGTCGAGCATTATGTCGTCTTTTCCTAACAAATAGTAAATCACTTCGTTCATTATCACTTGATTTTTATAATTCATCCAAATTTAAATCATATCCATACTTTCCATATCACAAAATGGCCAAACAATTCTTAACGAATCTTTGTGAATTGACAATTCATTATCATTTATCTCGTCGTGATTTATTTATGGATTTTCAAGAATATTGTAAAAATTTAAAAAGACTTGAATTAATTGATTACACTTGGAAGAATTTACCCGAGAAACGACATGATTCAGTTAGAAAATTAATACAAAATCAAAATGGATTACAATATTTAAAAATTTATGGATAC